TGCAACTAGCCCATAGTGTGAACGTTCCACCTCAGTGCTTATCACGTATTGAAAAAGGTCTTTTCAGGCTTGTTTCAGGGCTTTTAATCAGAAGGGGCTTTGATTAGTCTTTTTCAGCATTCCCATGAGCGGTCTCTCTTTGAGAGTTTTTCATTCTTTCAGACTTCAAATTGACCTCCATAATCCTTGTAACTGCAGTTTCTTGATTACTCCGCGGCCCACAGGAACCTGAAAATGCCTCGAGGGCAGAATTTAATTACCGTGATTGACTCATTTCCAGAGGTGGGGAGCCAATTAGACAGGCCCACGGATGCTGATAGCCGGGACAAGATTTAAGATTTCAGGATGTCGGAGTTTTCCTTTAACTTTAAAATTAGTTCAGCTCAAATCCAAACCTCAACTCAACCCAATAAGGTGTGAGCTCACATTTTTTGATGCTTCCTTTTTCTTTTTCTTTTTCTTTTTTGCTCAAAGGCTGAAAACAGCTCCACCAATCTTCCCAGAGATATTTCGATTTTAATTAAAAACATTTCGTCTGTATTCTTATCCCCTTCTGCTCATCCACAGTCAATGAAATGTCCCCTGATCGTCTCTGAACTGTGTTTAAAGGCGACATAAAACCCAGCCTACCCGCACACGTAAAAGGTTTAAGTGTGAAAATGGTCATTTTTGGGAGTGGGTTTGTGAGGGAAGCAGTTATACAATGGATATTTTGTGTTTTTTTTCAACTTTTTGGCCTGAAACTAAAACTTCCCGGCACGTAAAAACCAGATCACGTTAAACCTGATGAGAGTACTGTATGGAGGCTGGCACTTTGACTCCTCGAACGAAAGTGCGAGCGGCCCGGTGGGAGCTTCTGCGGCTGGGTGAGCTGGGGGTGATTTCGGTGGAGAGGATCTGTGATACGACCACCATCTGTCGCTGTCAGCATGCGTCCGGAGCCATACAGTGAGCGCGAGTTTAAAGTTCACGCATAAATGTCAATTCCTCCTCTTTCCCGAATTTCTTTTCTTTTTTTCTTCTTTTCTTTGCTCTTGCGGCAGCAGACAGGATTTGTTAAGCGCTGCGAGGCTTTTCCGGCCCCAGAGGAGTCACCGCGGTGGGTAAGGCTGGAGCAGATCTGCAGAATGAGGAGCAGGGGGGGGTTGTGGGGGGGGAGTAAATGGCCCAGCAGGATGTTCAAC